GATGTTCCTGGCACCGCACCAGGCCACACACAGTCAACAAATGTGGTTCTCAAGTACAGAGCAGAGGGCTGCTTACCAGCAAGCTAGCAATCTTAGGATCCTACAAATTCCCAGAAATTGTATGTGAGATGGTGGATACATGTTTATGAGCATTTCTGTGTAGAGGAGATTGATCAGATTCTCAAAGTGGCCTATCACTCCACAAGAGCCAAGAAATACTGTTTTAAGAATTTATAATTCAAGGAAAGAGTAGATATGAGGCACAACTGAAAGATAAGTCTGCTGGTGCAAGCAACAGAGAGGGCAACCCCAAAGAGGCACTTTCCTGCAGGGCAAGCAGGTGGGTGGGCAACACGTTCCCTCTGGCAGGGACCTGTCACCTCTGTGCTGGCCACTGTGCAGTACACCTGTATGCACAGCAGCTAGGCAGAGGCCATCCGATGGGAACCCAAACACTGGGCCTCAGGCTGAGTGTGGCCCAAGTCTGTGGGGAGAGCAAAGGCTTTACCCTGGGAAAATGTATTTGGAGACTGACTCGTCTGCCCGTGTTGGCATGATGGATTCCTACTACTTAAGTGGGAAGGCTGGGGAGGGCAACATGGACAGAAGCAGTGTGCCATCTAATGATCTTAGAGTGGAATTAAGTTCTTTTACATTTAAAAATGTACCTCCATATTCCCCGGCCCCACCTTCCAACATCCTGCTACCTACCACTTGAGAGGCAACAGGAAGCCTCCCAGCACACACCAGAGTGCTCCCTCCCCACGACCTCAGACACAACCTCAGAGAAGGACTCTCAAGGCCTCAATTCCTCTTCCTGCTTCCTGGGAAGCTTCATGATATTCACAGAAATACTCTGCATAAAACTATTTAGTCTTAAAACTGAAGCTGCAAATTATGCCTTCAATTAAAAACCATAATAGGGCTAGGAGTTGTGGCTCAGTGGTAGAGCACTTGCCTCACTTGTGTGAAACACTGGGTTCGATTTTAAGCACCACATATAAATAAATGAATAAAATAAAAGTCCATCAACATCTAAAAAATATTTTTTAAAAAACCATAATAGAGTAAATGAGTGAACATTGTTTTTTCTAACTGACAGTCACTCTGTGTATATTCTGAGAACATGAAGGGTACCCTTTATGGAAGAATAAGCAGCACCATAGAGAACTCTTCTGGAACAATTAAAACTCCTCAGGATAAAAGTTACTTGTGAAATAAAATACTTTTGAAAATATAATGAGTATACTATACAAGATTTTTTCAGTTTTGCAAAAACACTTTAAAATGACAATTACAAAATTCAACAGATGGTGAAGGGAAAACTGCATATGCACATGCAAAAGAAAGACAGTAGACACTGGCTTCGTAACAAAAGAAAAATTAACTTGAGCTGGCACAGTGCCACGGCACCATAGACTCAGCTACTTAAGAGGCTGAGATAGGAGGATCGCTGCAGCCCAGATGCTAAGACCAGCCTGGGCAACACAGTGAGATCTATTCTCACAACAAAAAACACAAAAATTAACTCAAAAGGTATCAAAAATCTAAACTGAAGAGACAAAACTTATGAAATGCAAGAAATAAGGGGGAAAATTTTCATGACCATGAATTTCATAATAAAAGCACAGACACCAAAAGCACAGACAAGATATAAATTGAACCACTTCGAAATTTACAACTCCTGAGTAACATCAACAGAGTGAAAATACTACCCACAGTAGGTGGAATTTTCAAATCTTATATCTGATAAGCGGTAAATAGAGAATATGTAAAGAGCTCTTGCAACTCAAAAACGAAAAGCAACAATCCTCTTCAAAAATGAGCAAAGGACTTGACCTTTCTCCAAAGAAGATAAATGGCCACTGAGATCAAGCTTAACATCATTGTCACTAGGGTAATGTAACTAAACCCACAGTGAGCCACCACTTGTTCCATTATCAATGAACCAGAAGATAAAACAGTACTGGTGCAAAGGTGGAGAAGTCGGAACCCCTGGGCATTACTGCTGGATAGATGGTAAAATTGTGCAGCTGCTATGGAACACGGTTTGGCAGTTTCTCAAAAGGTTAAACACAGGCTACTGTACGACAGCAACTGCACACTGCTGAGTTCAGCCTACAGAGTTCAAAGCAGAGATTCAAACAGATATTTGTACACTCAGATGGTTGGCAGCCAGGAAGTGGGAAAAAACCCAGTGTCCATCAACAGAGGAATGGACAAACACGACATGACACATATGCAAGATGGGCTATATGGCCATGAAAATGAGTGAAGCTGATACATGCTACGACACGGGTGAAGCTTGAGAACTCTAGGCTCAGCGAAATCAGCCAGACCCAGGAGGAGAAATGCTTTGTGATTCCACTTACTTGAGCTGCTCAGAATAGTCAAGTTCACAGACAGATACAGGAGGGAGTATGAGGGGAGGAAGGAGAAAGGGTTAGGGAATGGGAAATCATTTAATAGGTATGGAGTTTCTGCTTGGGAAGAAGAAAAAGTTCAACAAACAGTGTGATGGTTACTGGTGGGTGGAGTCAGACTGCTGACCTGCCAGGTTTCACATTTCCACACTTGGAACACACTTAATGCCACTGAATTCTATAATAATGGTTAATTTAAGGTGGTCAATTTTTACATTAGGTATATTTTATTATTAGTAACATATCACAAATAAAAAACAGAAAAACATTTTTTCCTTTTGTAACATGTACCAGCATATTCAAATGACTCCAATCTCTTATTCTACATCTGGAGATAAATTTAAATGTACACACTCCCAGAGAACAGAGACAGTCAAGGGTCTACAAGATTAATTCTCAGGGGGTATATGCTTGCCACTGCCCTGTGGGATGCCAGACACTGTGCATCTTTACCCAAGATTTCACACTGAACAGAAGAGTCCTTCTGAGATGCGTCTATACCACAAAACAAAACAAAGAAACCAGGAAACTTCAATTACAGGACACTTAGAAAATTAATAAATATTTAAAAAAAAGAAAATTAATAAGTCAACATTTATCAACTTTCCAATTCACAGTAGAGTTACGGCAAAAATAAGTAGTGGAAAACTTGGGGAAATCAGTGTAGAGGGCACATTTACAACTGTTTCTACAATCCCTCCTTGGCCTTGCCTTGGCCTGACTTTCTCCAGGCCACAGACCTGTGCTTGGTACTTTCACAACTTACAAATCCTCTGGAACAACAAGTGTGGTGGTGCGTGTCTGTGAGCCCAGTGACTCATGAGGATTATAAGTCAAGGCAACTTATTAGCAAGAACCTGTCTCAAAACAAAATAAAATAAAAAGGGTTGGGGATGGAGCTCAATGGTAGCAGACCACTGGGTTCCATCCCCAGTACCAAGGAAAAGAAACAAAGAAGTCCTCTGGAATAAATGAAAGACACAGCATGGAGCTAGCAGGACTCTACAACTCCATGCATATCCCAGATCATGCCAGGTCTCCAGGCAACAGAGACACAGAGCACTCTGCATCTTCATAAGGACCTCAGCTCTCGTACTTGACAGAAAGCAGGATGGATGGTAAGGCACAGGAAGGTAGGGCCAGCTGGTTCTGCACCTTCACCTGCCAAGTGACAGTGCCAATAAGGGAGTGCTCCTTAACTTAATAAAGATATGAGAAATTCTTTGAAAGTCAAATTTAAAAATATATACACTAACATTCTGCTTTTGTTTCTGACTTTAAAATTCACAAGAGTAAAGATACAAAGCACATGCTTCTATGGATTTTTTTTTTTTCTTTAAACCAAGTGTCTTTAGGTTGTCTTTAGGTTGCCAGATGCAGAAAACTTAAGGAAGCTGTGTTTTCCTATTGAAGAACAGGAACACTAGAGGAAAACATTCCTTGAGACTGGCCTCCAGCATAGTCCATGAGACACTGGTTGAGGACCAGCTTTTGCCCCATGCCTCCGCCTGAGGGGAACTGCAATGAACTCTTGTTATCCACAGCACTTCAGAATCAGAGGAAGGAACAGTCCTTCCTAGAATCCATCTACTAACTACCAACTATGCTGCATTCACAGGCCTGGCCCTTTCCCTTTCTACACACTGGTGACCCCACTATTAAAAGGAAAACCCCTGTAGCTCTAGAGGCAGCACAAACTAACTACACTAGTCTATCCCCTGGTTACTCTATCAAATGAGCAGCAACTAAAAAGATGACAGTCCACGCTAGAGTAAGTACCAAGATGCAACATTCTCATTTTTATTTGCCAGTAATCAGGACCTATAGAACCACACCGGACAGAAGGACCTTGTCTGTTGCCAAGCACCTTAAACTGCCCTTTACATCTCCTGGCTCTGATAAGCTGGAGCTCCACAACTCGCTGGCTTGTGAGATCCAAGCAACTATGCCTTCCTCTATGCTTTGCACTCAGCCTCAGCCACAAATGGGATGCTGTCTCTAAAAATCCACCTAAAAGAAAATGAAGGTCCTCTACAAACACACACAGCAGGAACAGCTTGTAAGCGTGTTTAGGCTGCCACTGCAAAGGGACATCTGCATTTGTTTTAGCTCTCACAGGAATTCCAGAGCCCAGCACCCTGCAGTAAAGCACTGAAGGAAGCAGCTCCGGAGAAAGACAGAGTGTGTCCCCTACTGTGGCTGCGAGAGTTGACTTAAATGGCAGCTCTCTCTCACAGGCATCATGGGATCTGAGAGGTGCTGAATGTCCTCCTTTATCCTCTACCAGCAGCCTCGAATAAGCTGGATATGACCAGCAGACAGACAGGGGTACATACACAGCAGGAGCCTAGTACACACACACCCATACAAAGGGGAACAGAGCTACATTTAAAGAATCACAACTAACCGCATGTGTTCTAACCGCCATTTCCTATGTCTTTTATAAGAAAAACTGGACTTCTCAGTTAACAGTCAAAGGACAAACAAACCGTAAGGAGGAGTCTGTTGTACCAAGCAAGTATATGCACCCTGATATACAAAGAGACCCACTTCCTAATGCATAACAGTAGTCACACATTGACTCATCTGACTTTCTTTATTCAAAAATAAAAGAGGCACAAAAAATAAAGAGCTAAAATGTCCAATGTCATCTGAAATAGCAAGATCACCAAAAGGTCACAAAGGTAAACCTGCATTTTGGAGATTTTATAATTACTAGAGAGAATGAATTGCTTTTCAAAGAAATGTATCTTAGAAAAATGCTGACCATGAGGTAGAGGGTTATCTAATCTCCATCTGCGCAGTGACCTACAGGTCATGGTAGTCTACTGGGCAGCAAGCCGCTGCTCTAAGGTTCTTCTACGTAGCACAGATGTGGGATACATATCATTCATGTCCATCTCTAGTCCATCGCAGATAGCTGTCTCTAACACACAGCACACGGTGATGGCTTTGAATACAAAGTGAGGGACCTGGGGAGGGGAGGGACACTGGCATTCTCACCAAGCCCCTTGGTGGCCAAGTGCACCTATACATCCTGCTCCAAGGCACGGAGGTCTTCCAGGAGCTCCTGGGCCGCAGTCTGCAGGTGGGTGTTGCGGCTCTCAGACATGGCCAGGATGCGCTGCAGGGGCAGGGAGCTCCGGAACTCGGAGGCCGACTTGGAGAAGACTTCTGGTTCCAGAACCACAGACTGGACTAGCCTCAGTACGTGAAGACACACCTCTGCATCTGGATCTAAGGAAAAAGGTGTCACTTCTGGTTAGTAAAAACTTCTCAATAACCTGCCCCACAAGGGTTCTTTCCAGCTGAGGAAACTACAGGCTAATCCAGAAAGTCACTTCTTGATGTAAAATCAGCACAATAAAACACAGTCATTGTCTACTTAGTAACTGCCTTCAAATATGACAACCATTATAATTTTAAAACTAGAAATATGAGGGCTGCTGTGGGGGTTTGGAAGTGTCACCCGCAGGCCCACGTTGAAGGCTTGGTTCCCACAGCACTAGAAGGAGGAGGGAGAACATTCAGGAGAGGGGCCTAGTGGAAGGAGGTTAGGTCATCAGGGGTGTGCCCCTAAAGGGAACAGAGGGACCCCAGCTCCTTCCTTTGTCTTTGTTCTCCAGCTGCCATGAGTGAACAGCCCTCCTCCACCTCACGTTCCCACCTGATTTACCACCTCATCACAGGTCCAAAGTAACAGGGCCCATGACCATGGACAGAACATTTGAAACCTTGAGTCAAAATAATTTTTTCTTCCTCTAAAGTTGATAAACTCAGGTATTTTGCACAGTGATGTACAGCTGACTAACACAACAACTTTCCTTGTTGTTTGCTACAGTTCTGCCTATTCATACAATTGTTTTAAAAGATATTTCATTTTCACTTGAATTGCAGTAAATCTCCCAGAGACAACATATAGACAGAGATTCTATGCAGGGCCACTGAGTTACCCAATATCAGGGGCTGTAATATTCATACCGAATTCCATTATTTTCCATGTGAATTCTCCCAGAGTCACTAAAGAACAGCTGGACCAAGACAACAGTGCAATTCAAGCCTATCATCTCCACCAGGATGGAGCCAACTCCGCCATTTCTCTGTTGGAAACCTCTGACATGCCATGAATTCACTCCTTGACAGTACTATATTGGAGCCAGGCTCAAAACTAGCACAGAGAGTCTACACTTTGGGAGCAAATTTTTGTCACACAGGAATCAAATTTTTACCACTTCAGGATACAAAAAGAACTCAAAAAACAAACAAAAAAATAACTCAATCAATAAATGGGCTAAGGAGCTGAACAGACACTTCTAGAAGATATACATTCAATCAAAATACATGAAAAAATGTTCAACATCTCTAGTAGTTAGAGAAGTGAAAATCAAAACTTCTCTAAAATTTTATCTCACGCCAGTCAGAATGGGAGTTATCAAGAATACAGACAACAACAAACGTTTGTGAGGATGTGGGGGTAAAGGCACACTCATACATTGCTGGTGGGACCACAAATTGGTACAACCAATCTGGAAAGCAGTATGGAGATTCTGTAGAAAACTTGGAATGGAACTACCATTTGACCCAGCTGTCCCACTCCTCAGTCTATACCCAATGGACTTAAAATCAGCATATTACAGTAATGCAGCCACATCAAATGTTCATGCAGCTCAATTCAGAAGAGCTAAAACTATGGAAGCGGGCTGGGGATGTGGCTCAAGTGGTAGCGCGCTCGCCTGGCATGCGTGCGGCCCGGGTTCGATCCTCAGCACCACATACAAACAAAGATGTTGTGTCCGCCGAAAACTAAAAAATAAATATTAAAAAAATTCTCTCTCTCTCTCTCTCTCCACTCTCTCTTTAAAAAAAAAAATACTATGGAAGCAACCTAGATGCTCTTCAATAGATGAATAGATAAAAAAAAAAACTGTGGTATATATACACAATGGAATATTATTCAGCATTAAAAGAGAATAAAATTGGGGGCTGGGGTTGTGGCTCAGCGGTCGAGTGCTCGCCTAGCACATGCAAGGCCCTGGGTTCACATAAATAAACAAATAAAGGTATTGTGTACAACTAAAAAATAATTTTTTTAAAAAAAAAGAGAATAAAATCATGGTATTTTCAGGTAAGTGGATGGAGATGGAGAATATCATGCTAAGTGAAGTTAGCCAATGCCAAAAATCCAAAGACTGAATGTTCTCTCTGGTAAGCGGATACTGATCCAAAACAGGGAGTGGGGAGGCATGGGGAAAATGGAGGAACTTTGATTGGGCAAAGGGGTACATGGGGGCAGGAAAGATGGTGGAATGAGATGGACATCATTACCCTAGATACATGTAAGGCTGCACATAGGGTGTGAAGCTACATTGTGTATACCAAAGAAATAAAAAGTTGTGCTGCAATTGGGTACAATGAAACAAAATGCATTTTGCTGTCATATATACCTAATTAAAAAAAAAAAAAAAAACTAGCAACTTCTTAAAACTACATTTCAAGAAGCCAGTGGGATGGACAATCCCTCCGTGAAAGTTGCCACACCATCACACCCTTGAAGAACAAGAGGGAAGATGAAAGAAACTCTGCTCCTTCCTAAGGAAGGGGCAGGAAACCATTCTGAGCCCAGACCATAGGAGTCCTCCTACTCTGGGAGAAGGATGAGAAACATTCTCTACTTGCCAAGGCACAGGATGGGATGGTTACCACAAAACCAGGACAGGATTGTGGGAAACACCCACCACACAGGCACGGTGGCCATGAGAGGAACCAAAACAACATGTCCTCCTCCCTCAGCAGGCCAGCACATACCTCATAACTGTACCTGGGACAGGAGCAAAAGGATGGCAAGAGGCCCTCTGGGACACAGATAATAAAGAGGGCTAACAAGCCAAGGGTGAAGACACTACCACTCAGCCTTCCTCCTGAGCTCAAGGAAAGGCTAGAGGAATTTGACTCCAGCCAAATAGATGGTAACCACGGCAATGTCCAAACCCAAAGCCAGCTCACTAAACACGACATCAGAACAGAGGTGTGGCCATTCCCAGGTGTAAACACCACCTACCTACACCAGTCTCCTCTACAGGGTGGTACAATAGGGTCTAAAGGCCAAGTGCAACAAATGCCCTGTTTCTGTAATAAACCCTGGGATAGGAATGACTTCTAAAATTTTAAAGGGATTTTTTTTAAAGAAAACAAAAAATAATGTGCAACAGGGACCATCTGTGGCCACCGAGCTCAAAATATTTACTATCTGTCCCAGTATAGAAGCATTGGCTGAGGCTACTGCCTGCTCTCGAGAAGGCCTGGCTTCTCCCCTTGATGTGTATTCCCTGCTGTACCACAAAGGCACATCTCGAATTCTCCCTTGAATATCTCTGCTTTCCCCAATCTGTATGTGCCTCTAAAAAAGAAGCTGGCTAAACCCTTGCCCTACTGCCCTACATACAATGCCCAATAGTTTATCAACACTTATAATGAGCAGTCAAGTAAACAGGAGGCCCAGGCAGGAGGGTCACAGGGCAACTCAGTAAGACCCTGTCTCAAAATAGAAGTAAAAACAGCTAGGAATGTGACACAGCACAGAATGTTTGCCTAGCAGGTGCAAGGCCCTGAATTCCATTCCCAGTACTGGGAGAGAGGGGGGTAGTCTATCAAGTGATAATCAGCAGAACCAGACTCAGATGACCCTGAGGAGCAGGAGTAAGTAAGTGTGATTAACACTGGGGAAAACACTGATAAGGAATTTATGCTGCACCTGAAGCAGTATGCTATTATTTAAAGGTATTCTAATTAAAGATCGCATCATCAACCCTAAGGCAAGTACTAAGAGAAAAAATATTTTTACATGTAAGTAATAAGCCAACAACCCAGGGGGGAAAAAAGGATTAAAATAATCCACTAGCAGACAAAAAAAGAGGAAAAACATACTTCTACATTCTTATCTGCATTTCAATAATTATATCAAATGAAAACAATATAAACATAACAAAAGACAGAATGCATATAAAAGCAAGACCAAACTATATGCTTTTTATAAGAAATCCAAGAAAAATTTAAAAGACACAGGTTAAAGGTAAAAGTACATTAATATATGTCACACAAACATTAATTAAAAAAAAAAGCTGCCTCAAGATGGCAGAATAGAGGGAGGCCGTGGTTACTCGGTGGTTCGGGATTCAAGCAGTGGAGCCCTGCTCTGGATGAGGGGGGTGAAACAAGGATTTCACTAAAATTCAGTATTGGACAGTCAGAATGTCTCAGAGACTCAGAAAGCTGGGTGCATTAAACAAAGAAGACTCCACTGGAGCTCAGCCGGCTGCGCACTGGTGGCAGCACTGGCTCAGCCCAGAGGGAGGGAGAACAGAGAGAAACCTGACGGGCAGATGTAGTAGAGAAACACCTGAGGTCAGAAAAGCAGCCTGAACTCAGCTGAGCCAGAGACTGCACCGTGCAGTGGTGCCTGAAAAGTGCTTGGTTTCCCAACTGGCTGGTGGCGCCACCTTGAGGCGGCTATGCTGCCGCTGCTGCTGCAGAGTCCGGTCCCAGCCAGCGCCTCCACACAGCCTAGGGCACACCTAGCAGAACACTGGTGAAACAGGCACAGAGAGGACTGCACCCAGGGGAATCCAAGTCAGAAGGTCAGAGGGGAGTCCAGCTTGCTTCCCTTTCAGTCTAGCAGTTTATGTGAACAGCTGAAGCAGGTCAGGAGGGTGTGTCCACACTCAGGGATTAAGCCTGGGAAGGCTGTGCTCATGGGCAGCAGAGGGTGTGGAGGATTGGCTCCTGGGCCCCACGAGTGGAATTCTTGGGAAGCTCCTGGGTTCCAGACCCCAGACAGAATTTGGCAGCTTCCAGGCCCTAGGGGTGTGTTGCTCTAACATCTCCAGAGCAGTCACCACCCAACCAAGCCCCCGGGGCCGGATTAGACCTAAGTCCCAGCCCCAGAAACTCCTCTGCAGCAGACCCACCCTGGGATGCTCCAATCCGGTTGGTAGGTGTAAATAAAACTCCACCTGACATTCTTTCCTCCCCATTCCACCCTATTCTGGTGAGAAGGGAGCTGAGAGCTACTTCAGCCAGCTTCCATCTTAGGCCACTCCAGCTGCAGCTTAGTGAACACAAAAAGAGGAAGGGGCTTCCCACCCCCAGCCCCTTGCTCTCCCTCTCAGTACACAGCCCTAGAAAAAAAGTGGAAAGAAAGACTATAAGGTCCCTGCTTAGCATCTGGTTGGCCATCTTAA